TGACCCAGGGAAAGAGGGTGCTAGGCAGAGGAAACAGCAAGTGCAAAGGATTTGAGATAGAAGTGTGGTTGGCATGTTTAAGCACTGGCCAGTATGCCTGGAGGGAGAGGGGACGAGAGAGGGTGGTGGGAGAAGAGGGGAGGTGAGATCATGTGGCCACGGTGAGGATTCTGGCTTATTCTGTGAGTAAGATGGGAAGCCATTCGAAGTTTAAAGCAGAGTGACATGAGCTGATTTATGCCTTAAAAGGAACTTTCTGGCTACTGTCTTCCTTTTATTTCTTCTTCTTTCCTCACTACCCCACCCCTAAATCTTTCTCCTCAGAAAGCAGGAGGAGCTTAAGAAATGATTATCCATTGAATGTGATGAAATATTAGTTAGTTCTGATCCTTGCACATGAAAGATCTTCTAGCCCTTGATTCTATAGTTTTTGAGGACCTGGAGCTTCTGATGAAGCTTCAGTCTGCATGAGGACTTACCAAGCTGTCCATTCCATGACCAGCCCTGGGTCCTACCAGAAGAAGGCCAGTGCAGCGCACACTTCAAACAGAGCACCCCAGAGCTTTGCTCTCCTCTTCGAAGACACATTCACCTATTTATGAATCATTTGTGCCAAAGTGATAATGTACTTTCTAAATGCTGGCTTATGGTCTAAAAACATCTAACACACACTACCCTCAGCTTGGAGGAAACTATGTTACTTGTTATTTTGAAAATGCATTTGCACCAAAGTAGGAATATTGAATCTTTTCTTATGTGGGGGCATGTGTGACAATGTGAAGGTCGTTTTTCCTCTTTCAAAAATAGAAATAAACACCTTCTACATTGAATTCCATTAGTCTTTTTTTCAACCCCAGTATCTTTTCAGCCATTCAGTCACACAAGATATTTACTCTCCGTGAAGATGTTCTTAATGTTATATGCAGCATTTGAGCTATTTTTCTTAGGCATTGTCAACAGAAATATTCTATTTTATGCCCTCCTTTATCAGTTTATTTTGTCATCCATAAGGGTGGGTCAGTGGTATCATGACTTTTGACTTTCCAGGCTTTTATTTTCCTGACGATGTGATATAGTGAAAGAATATAGTCTGAGGAGTTAGGAAACAAATTACCCTGGGTGTTCAACCTCTAATGTGATAGGTGATTTGGGGTGAGGCGATTAACTCATGAAGCTTCTGTTTATCTATTGACCAAATGATGGATATTGATTCTTTGTGATCTGGCCACCTTGGATGATTATTAGATTTGAATGCTGTTGTAGACATCAAAACATGTTGATATATTGAAAGCACTATATGAATATGAGGTTGTGGTGTTATCTTCAGTTCTTCTACTTTGTGATCTATGAAGAACATGCATTGTTTGAATCATTCAAATTATACTTAAAAAAAAACTAACCCCAAATGGTGAAAATAAGAAAAAGATTAAAGCAGAGGTTGAAAGATTAAAAAAGAGTATCTGGCAGACATATGATTTATATTCATTCCACAAATTGGCTTCAGGCTTAAACTAGGAAATGCATAAATCCTAAAAAAGCTTCTGAATAGATTTCTTTAGTCTTTTCCAAAGCTGTGAATCATATGATGTGGAATTTTGTGCTGTGTTTTGGTTAGAACCTTCTGATTTGATATTAATGGGGTAAGTGAAATATAAAATGATATTCATTTAATCTTTATTGGAAAATTTGCTTTCAGAATTTGGTAGTTCTGTTCAGCAGCTCATCCTCATAGATGAGGAGCTTAATGTATACACTGTTTGGAAGGATTTTTAAAAAATCTACAGCCAGCCTGGTTTGTAGCGTCTGTTTTGGGTGTTTGAGAATGCCATAAAGTTTTAAGCCTTAAGTCATCTGGATCTGTTCTTAAAACCAAGTGGTAGGAATTGAAAAAATGTTTAAAAATCAAATCCCACAGTAATCCACTATCTGAAAAATGGTAGCAGTAGTTGGTTACTTCATGTCATTGCTTGGTTGGGAAAAACTTATATAACTTTGTCAACAGGCACAGCATATCGTCCTTCAGCAACTTTTTCCTAATGATAGTAATAATATTCATTGGGCATTTGAGCTTTGGCAGGCAGTGCAGAGAACCCATAAGAACATAGCCACTTTCTTCCAGAAGTTTCCAATCTAACGAAAACTGGTAGTAAGTTCTCTTCTTCGGAGCCATGATTTTACTCTTGAACTATTTTCTTTCAAATACTATTGTGAAAGAAAAATGTCCTAAATAAAATCTCAAATAACATTATATGGGAATTATATATTTCTCCAGAGTATGTGGCACTCAAAATTTTTTTCCCTGAGATTTTATCTTATTTATATAACCCAAATTGGTACACTCAAGAGTTCTTTCCGCTGAATGTGGACTAGAATCAGAGAAAAGTCAAGAATCTTGCTTGCCATCCAGGATGACTTTGCCTACTTGAGTGGCTAGCAGATATGTTTAGAGGTGAATCTTTTTAAAATTTTCTAATGTGGGGACCGTACTGCCCAGGAAATCATATGGTACACACATTGATTAGACATGATCATTTAGCTTAGGATTTTCCCCCAAGGTACCTCCCCATCCCACCACATGAAGCATCAGCGCTTTTCCTAGGACACTTATGGGGTCAGGCCCACCTTTGGGAGGCATTTTAGCCTCAATTTTACTGTTTTTCAGTGGGAGGAAGAGAATTGAGACCAATCAAAGACTTTGCCTTATTTATTTCAAAAGGAATGACCACAAGAAAAAATAGCATTTTAGGAATGATGAAAAAGCATGGCATTAATCTTGCCAAGGTTAGGAATTGTGAAGCTTCTTTCCCAGTGGATAACTAATACTATTCATAAATATAATAACTTTATTATTATTATTTTTTGAGGAAGATTGGCCCTGAGCTAACATCTGTTGCCAATCTTTCTCTTGTACTTTTTTCTCCCCAAAGTCCCAGTACATAGTTGCATATCCTAGTTCTAGATCCTTTTAGTTCTTCTATGTGGGACACCACCTCAACATGGCTTGATGAGTGGTGAGTAGGTCTCGCCCAGGATCTGAACCGCGAACCCCAGGACACCAAAGTGGAACGTGCAAACTTAACCCCTTCGCCACTGGACCAGCCCCTAATTTTATTATTATCTATTAGTTGTTGAGAATTTATTATGTGTTAGACACCAAGCTAATGGCTTTACTTGCATTTTTCTCAGTTCATCCTCTTAAAACTCCACGAAACGGGAGCTACTCAGAAAAGTCAGGTAACTTATCCAAGATCACTAGGTGGCCAAGCTAGAATTTCTATGTCCAAAATTCATGCTTTTAGCCATTCTGTGATATTGCTTTCTATGGAAATGATTCAACATTTGAATAAATTTAAAAGGCCATAAACATCAATTTATGAATCCACATGTTTCTGAAAATATTATAATGGATATCTTTGGTTAAAGAAAATCTACAAGGGTCAAGATGAGTTACCTCTACTTCACTAGAGTTCTCAGAATTTTTTTCATCATGGAACATCCTGACAAAATCAGGATGGGTAGGTGGACAGGTTGCTCTTTTAAATTTCTTTTCCCTTTGATATTTTATAATTCCTCAGTTCTCTTGGAACTTTTCCATATCTCATATGAAGTATCCAGTGAAGCCCCGGTCCAGCTCACAGCTACTAATACTTCCACATCTCCATTTCCCTATTTCTTGAATAAGAATAACATACTTTTTCTTTATGTGTATATGTATATAATATAATAGCTATATAAGTGCTTCAAGTTTATGAGGAAGGCCAGAAACAAAAATCCAAGTTACTATTGTCATCTAAATTATTTACATTGTAGTGCAAAAAATGGAAAGACTATTAGAGAAGTTCTGTGGCACACTTAGCTTTATTGAAATTGAACAAATATTTTTTAATAACCCCTTTTACAGCACATGTAAAATTTAATTTTTTCATTATATTTTTTACAGGTTGTCTGTTATCTGAGTAAGCAAAAATACGTCTTTTATTTTTTTTCTTACTTAAAACATGTAGCCAGGATTCAAACCACGTAGCTCTGGTACCAAAAAGGCAACGGGTTATGAAAATCACAGTACAATTTTAAAATTCTTTAAGTTAGTTAAGGATATTTAAAACAATATTCACTTGGATTGACAGTAGAAATCATGGGTCAGTTGACATTAGTACTAGTAGTTACACCTACAATGAGAGCAGAAATGGGAAGTTCAAGCTAATACGAGCTACACCGTTCAGGACACACCATCTCCATAAATACTGTGGCCAAGAGGTTGCAATGGCTAAGTCACACTTGAGCACTTAAAGTCGCATGTAAATACAGCCAAAGTGAAAAAAATATAGTGCGCTAACTTGGATCTAAAATAAAATGGTCATTTATTTTCAAGAGAGTATACTATCAAATCAATTACACAGTACACAATTTAAACCCCAAATGACATCTAAGAAAGAAAAATAATATTAAAATGCACACCTACGGACAGTAAAGTAGAAATTTGTTCTTTGTTATTGGTGTTTATTTTTTGTTGTTGTTTTCTTGATAAGTAGAAATAATTGACGACCCACAAAAGGATTTCTTGGGTGAAACACTAATTACAGACATTGTAAAGAACGTAGCTCAGGAGGCTTATTTTAAAAATGAGGCAGCATTTTCCTGAAAAAGTTTGGTCCTCGACTCACTATAGACTAGTCACTATGGTCAGATGGTAAGTATTTTCCTTGTGTGTGTGTGTGTGTTTGTTTTAAGCTAATTTTTCAGTACCAGAATTAGTCAAAACCAAACCAAACCAAACGAAACCTAAAGACAAAGAGCCCTCAAGAACTTGACCTTGCATATCATGTCTAATTAATGCATCATCTGAAAGAATAATGCTAAAGACTATGAAGAGAATTATGCTCATGTGATTCTGCAACACCTTAATTTTGTGCAAACATTTTCCTTCATTGCCTAGATAACTTATCTTTATTCATGTAGGTGCCAGGAAACCCGCCCCCATGATCCTCCCTCCCCCCTCCCCCAGTCTTCTCCTCTGTCAAAGTGATATAAAGACAATTTCACTGTGTATTTACAAGCACAACACTTAGGCAAGAAGGTCCCAGGATCTGAAGGGCACATCTATTTCTTGTGGACATCTTCATGCCGAATGATCTTATATGTGATCCAGTAGAAGATGTTGAAAATGAGGAAGGCCAATGGGAAGGCAGCTCGAGATATTGTGTCAATCCTTTTTGCTCGGTCCACAAACTTCTTCTTGATGGCATCTGCATCTTTTGGGGGTTGTGGGAGCGGGTTGGCAGGTGTGGCCTTGACAGCCGTTCCATCTTTCACTTGGAGGCAGTGACCCATCCCATAACCGCTGAAATTAAAACGACCTTCACGAGTAACATCTTCTTCCTGGGAGAATAAGGACAGAGGAAGCACAGATTGGTTGTCAGTCAAATCAGATGGAAGATGCTTAAAATTCTTCAGAAGTAAAGGGATAAATCACAGTTAACTGGTAGTGTGGGAGGCTTTCGGAATGGGGAGTTCTCTTTCAAGTTCAACGCAATTATTCACGGAACAGATACAGTTCATTTACTTTTCAGGCTGAGAAATTAAGGGTAAGAATAATGACTTTGTGGTCATCTTAATTAATTAACAAACAGAAACACCTACATTATACTTAGCACTGACTTTCCCAAAATCTAGTTTATTTATCCATAGCTTTGAATAGACTGTTTTAAAGCCAAGTCTCCAAATCCCAATATTATACTTTAAATCTATGAAGAGGACCATTCATTTATTCACTTACTCATTCATTCACTCATTCATTCATTCATTCAAAAAAGCATTTACTGAATCCCTGCTGTGTACCTGGCCCTGAGCCAGGAACTTCTAGTGTTGTGGCCATTCACAGCCCAATTTCTTCCATTAACATTGGCTTTAATGTTAATGTTAGATCTAAGATTAACCCTTTAAATGTATACCTGTTTCCCCTCCAGCCCTCTAGTTCATCTCAGTTATATATATAGCAGAGATTAAATATTCATTACTTGGCATTGAATATTTCTACCATGGCTAATTTTTCTAGTGTCAGTTTTTAACATCGATTCTTTGGCTAGTTATTTATCTCTACCATATTTAAACATATGTCATTTTAGCTGATGTCAGTGGTATTTTGTATTGATTATTTCTATATGAATTAGATAAAAGACTGAAAAATTATAACCTCAGGGTAAAGAGCAAATGGCCTTCGTAGAGACAAATGTGTGGACTCTGGGTGTGTGGTTGGGTTAAAATGGTGAGTTGAAAAGGTGGGATTGAAATGACCTGCTTAATAAAAATTTGGTTTTAAAAAGCCATTGATTGAATCATCTTCTTCTGCAGCTAGATTACTGCCTTCCACAATACTGTGTGACCCCTTTGAGTCACCAAAGGCACTGTACTGTTTATCTTGCCAGATAATAATAATGGTTATATTTCTTAAAAGACAAGAAAAATTGGTATTAATTTTATTTCATCAATGTTTCTTGCATGTCAGTTGTGCCTTCAGCCACATATAAAAGATATACTGAATGAAGGACTTTAACATAATATGAATGAAAAGCCAACTGTAATCCAAATGGTATGGCAAGTACAAATTTATGTCAGGAAAATCAGGCTAATGCTCTTGTAATAAAGAAACTGTAAAACTACTCCTTTATAAAACCATCTACCCAGTACTTTTATTTATGTGGGATTGTCCTATACAAGTTGGTTGAAGACACTGTGTCTCATTTCTTAACAAAATGTAATAAAGAATTTTTCATTCAACAATTAACTGTTGAGTGTTGAATCTATGGCAAGCATTTTGCTAGCTGCTGGAAGACAGTTGATGAAGATGAAGAAGAGCCCTACCTGCCTGGAGCTTTTAGAACCCAGTGGAAGTGGCCAATCTAAAGGCATTATCATATAAGGAAGCTGGCTAAGAAAACCCAGTCTGGAAGACATTAATGGAAGACATTAGAGTACTTCCATGTGCTCAGCTATATAAGCTCAATAATGAATACTTTAATTGGACAGATTCAAATATTACATCTGTTTTATTTGCCTTAAAATGTGAATGATATATTTTATGGATGCAAAAGTTTCAAAAAAGTGAAGTATTTAAAAATGTAGAATAAACAGGTATATTAATCATTACAGTGTCATCTGAAGACTTATTCACTACTTAGCGAGAAAAGAAGCACACGGTCATTAGGAGGAGGGGACTTGCTAGTCACGTGGATTATAGGCAGTCTTGGCTTCCTAACTATTACTAACTGGTAATTAGATCTCAACCAGCGTGTGAGAGAAGTAGAAACAGTGCTAGATGGTTTAGTAAAGAGAGATCCAGACTAGGAATTTGGATATTTGGGTTCTAGGCCAGGCTCCAAGAGTTATAAATTGTGTTGATCTTAGGTAAGATATTTATTCTTTCAAGGCCTCAGGGAACTCATTCCAAAAATGTTGAGGCTGGACTAGATCTGTGGGTCTCAGCTTTGGCTGCTGGGGAGCTTTTACAAGTATATGTATGCCTGCTTCCCCTCCTAGCCCCTTGCAGACCAACTGAATCAGAATCCCTGGGGATGAGAACTGAGAATCCGTATTTTTAAAAATCCAGTGACTCTAACGCAAAAGATTAGAAACCAGTGGCCTAGATGAGCTCTAATGTCCAGCTCTAAAATGCTGACCCTATCCTATATTATTAAGTCTACAATTACTTTTCAAGTGGAAACAATCCCTCAAAATACATTTTCCCTTATCTGCCTAAATTGTGCTGTTTTTCCCTGCCGTATCTGTAGAATCTTGCAAATTGCTGTTCTCACCTTTATAAACATTTAGAAACTCATGATTAAGCATACAGTTCACTGCCTGAATGAGATAAGATTCTTTTTAAATTCCTGGGCCCCTGAAGAAATAGAAAGAGTAGTTAGCTAGTAACCTCTTTTTAGCACATAAAACAAAAGGAAACCTCAGTACACGTCTGTGTTTCTTTTCAGAATGACTCATTCATTTAATTTCTATAATCTTTCCTCACATACTGTGAATGGATAGCTGAAGAGGTTAACTCATTCAATTAACTACCAGAGCTAGAAAAGAATGATGCCAGGTTAGATTATCATTATGTGGTACATTGCCATGCAAACTGTGGGTGCTTAATAAATGTTTGTTGAATAATGAACAAAAGGGAATTTTAAGAGAGTTTTCTCTATGCTTGAAAATACTTTCCTCGTTCATTCAACAATATTTCAAATTATGCTTCTGAGCATAGTTATAGCTAATTAAATCAATTCTTGAATGTTCTCCACCAAAAAAATAAATCTGTCATAGGTAGAAATTATCCATTTAATTTTTCATATGCAGGAGATATGAATGCTAGTCGAACGGTCTTCTTATTTACCATTATGACTCATTCAATGCCTTTTAAATATAGAACCTTAAGTTATCCACATCAAAATGTATGGTTTTGATTCAGAAAACATAATTGCAGCCAGTTTGAATTTTTGTGTTATAATGAATGACTAATGGCCTTGTTATCAGGTTCAGAATAAAATATTATGGTAATATGGCAAAATTCCTATATGAGGGCAAAATGGAGATGATCTTGAGTCATGGATTAACTGAAGCTAAAATAAAGAACAATCTGCAGGCACAGCTTAGTCGAACGTATTCATAGGGAGAGTCAGTTAGATCCTTTCAATAAGGAAAGAATTTTAGGCATATAGTCTCCATTTCTTCTAATTAGCCAGGAAACTAATTAGTTAATTATTGCTGCTGACCAGCCATCTTCAGTAACTTTGAGCAGCAAACGCTTCTAGCTCACTCTGTTTTGTTATTCACTGATTAAATTCCCACAGAAAATAAATCATCCAAAGTTTCAATACATGCAATTTCTATATCCCACTGATAAAATCTCCTTAAATCCTGTCTGCTGTATGAAGCACTGCCATGGCACTATGCAATTCTTTTGAGACTTATTATCTCATTTTATTTATTTTATGCATCAGTTTTACTTATTGTAAAATTTACTCATTCCTGTGTTAGGAATAACTCTTGTCTAGATGTGAAATTGGAGCTAAAGCTGACTAGAATTGCATTGTAGTTAATTGTTTGTTATAAGAAAATGATTTCAATATAAGTGAAGAACAGAGTACAATACTTATAAAATGCAAGATTTTAGCGGAGTCCATATTTTCAATTTTTTTTTATTTCCCTAGAGAGGAGGAAATAAAAGGACTCTTAAAAACTGGGGTAGGGGAAAATTCTTTCCATCATATTTCTCACCTAGATTCTTTGATTGGATTGAGTCTCCCTTCTGGTGGAATAGGAAATTATTTAGTTGGAACTGAAGGTTGTAGTGAGCCTCAATCAATGCAAGGACATAATGGAGACTCCAACTCTCCTTAGGACACAGTGTGAATCCAAACACAGCAGGTTTTCACCAAAAAAGTCCCTCGAGCAAATGAAGGCTGAATAATGCTTAATCGTGGGCCTGCCAATTTCTATTACCTGGACTTGAGGAAGAGGGATGGCCTTGAGAAATTCTCAAATCTTGCGGCCTCAATTTCCTTCTCTGTATCACAGAGACTTGGGAATAGATATGAATAATAAATAGACATCATTTATTGATTATGTCTATATATCATGCACTTAAAACTACAGTCAATCCTATCTCTAAACCAACCCTGCAAATTACATGCTTCCTGGGGAAGTTGAGGCTGAGAGAAGTAGTGCAGCTTCCCAAAGTTATATTGCTAATAAGTAATGAAGCTGAGATTCAAATTCAGGTCTGATTCCAAAGACTCTGGAAGTCTTTGATTTTTATGAATTTGTCTCTATAAAACCCCAAATGACTTCCATTAAAGAATATGGATGAAGAATTTCACTGAACTTTTCAGAACAAAGCTGAAATAAAGTAAACCAAATATAACCCCTTGTTGCTTAATGACGTGGTAAAATGAATTAAAACTGTCAAAGTGTCATTTTAGGTAGACAGTGAAAGGCAATTTTTCCAAAAGAAAAGCATATCAATGGATCATCTCTTTTTCAATGAAGGATATCATTATTATTAATTTTTGTGTGCGTGTGTGAGATCAGCCCTGTACTAACATCTGCCAATCCTCCTCCTTTTTTGCTGAGAGAGACTGGCCCTGGGCTAACATCCGTGCCCATCTTCCTCCACTTTATATGGGATGCTGCCACAGCATGGCCTGCCAAGCAGTGCATCAGTGCGCGCCCGGGATCCGAACCGGCGAGCCCCAGGCCACCACAGCGGAGCGCGCGCACCCAACCGCTTGCGCCACCGGGCCAGCCCCTCATTATTATTGATTTTTAAAGAAGGTACTTTTAATATTCTTTTCTTAAGGACTTGCCATTCATGTATTCATATTTCC